TGATAACAAGCCGTAATGTGAGTGCTTCAGCTACAGTGAGTGCTTCAGCTACAGTGAGTGCTTCAGCTACAGTGAGTGCTGCAGCTACAGTGAGTGCTGCAGCTACAGTGAGTGCTTCAGCTACAGTGAGTGCTTCAGCTACAGTGAGTGCTTCAGCTACAGTGAGTGCTTCAGCTACAGTGAGTGCTGCAGCTACAGTAGCATCATCATCTAACCGTTACTAGCGTGATGGTGCCACAGCTAACAACGGAGATCAAACTCGGAAGGAAAGCCTGGGCTACAAGTACAGTGGATGTTACTTGCATGCTGCATATTCTTGTGCCCGATGCAAGCAAGCATGGACATGTCATGCATGGCACCTGCTCCTTCGAACAAGAGGAGCTTCCCAGCACTCAACTCACCTTCACTTTACGAGGCTCCTTTTTCGTTGACAGCTTGCCAAAGAGATTCGAAAAGCTGTCCGACAGCTGTGCACATGACGCCAAAGGAACAGCAAATCACCGGGTGTAGTGTGCACCAGTACCAAGAGTAGCATCCTTATATGATGCTAGAGTATATTATAGTGTACAGTTTGCACTCTTTCTTGTTTTACTGAAGACACGACCTACTAGTAAGAAGATAGGAGAGAAGTAGCAGGACAACACAACAATGGGAAGAGTAGGGGCTCCAAGAAGGACTCTGTGCTGGTGACTCGAGTGGTGAGGCAAGCCAACAACGCCGACCCGTGGTCTTGCAATTACGCTGTGTATGGCGTAACAGTGGCACGAATGGAGTTTTCAGGGACGGTGTCATTACTGGTAGCTATAACCAGCTACCGAATAAGAAAACATCAATACTAAGTTAGTAGCTCGCAGTCGCTTGGTGTAGGCCGTGATTATGTGTCCATACCTTTGCACCGGTACCTCGGCGCGACATTGTTGGCGTGGCATACGAAGGTGCAGCGTCTCGCGCTAACGTCGTGGCCTTGGCTGCGGTGGACTTTGCCGGCTTTGCAGTGGATCGCCGCCCAATCTCGTCTAAAGAGGCATCAATAGACTGAGCCCTGTGCAGAACGCACCAGAACAAAGTACAGTATGCACATGAAAAAAGGATACTTCAAGTGAATAGCGATTTTCTTCCAGAAAGCAAAGCAGACTCGCTACCAACACTTCATTTCCAATGGAGCAATGATCCACTACATGCCAGTACTGAAGTACTAGTACAGCCAGTTTGGTGCTGCTATCAGTACACATCACGTGCAGAATAATGCTAGTTGAACATATCCGTGGTCCCTGGTTTGAGAAAGCTACACTACACATGCCTTATTGCCCACGCCAGCTGCTTCGAGCTACAAAGATACTGACTGGTTGATTGAGGAGTGTTCGATGAACGCGTCATTGTGACTATGTTTTTTTTGCAGTTTTCTTCCAAATCCTTTTAAAATTGTTAATTGAAGATACTCACCTTCCTCGCATCAACCGCTCTGCTGCCTCCTTGCTCGAAAACACATCTTCCCCACCGGACATGAAGCTTGCTGAATTGTTTGGTTCTGTCCGTGAAAACATGCTTGTGTCCATGGATGGAGATCGCTGTGCACGGATGCCAATGCCTTCATCTAAGAGATACACAGCAGCAAGCATGTGCACATACCGTTAGTCGTGTACATGTACACATCTCGCCTCATCACAAGTCCGATTCTCTGCCATGGGGCAATATTGGTAGGATTCATCAAACACTACACCAATAACAACCTCCATCCTGTGGGATACTGCCAGTTACATTATGTCACCTCACACAGCTTACAAAGTAACTAGCAACCATCTGCTACACGTGGCACTTGCTACTGGCGGCGTGTTCGGAGTCTTACCTCTCAGGAACTTTGACACAGGTGTTGGTGGCGACAGGGGTATGTTCTTGCCGACGGGCCCGTTTGCCTTGCCTTCCGGGGGCAGTGTGATGTGAAAGTGCAGCGCATTGCCTCGCTTTGTCGGCGGCGTGAGCGGCGGCAGAGCGGACGACGACGGAGCAAACTCCTCGGTGTCACTGCCCGGCAAGCTGTCCATGCTGGAGTACATACTCGTGGTGTCCATGCTGTCCGAGCGCAGGCGGCTGAGAGCGGGACTGCGCGGCCGGTCGGGCGTCATGGGTCGCTTGGGAATCTGCACTTGTAGCGGCGCTGCTGCCACGCGCTTCATCACCACCTGTTTGCCGTTGAGCTTCATCTGAAGTAGCAAGAAGTAGGTGGCGGTGACGCTGTCGAAACTCCACTGCGCCCAGGCCACACAAGAACACACAAGAACACACACGGTCAACACGTTTGAGTATGAGCATGCGCTGGATAATATATACTGGTAGGTGCAATTGAAGGTGAGAGAAATGATGTGCGTACACTCCGCACAGCCTGTCATGATCATCTCTCATGAGTCATGACTTGTATACCCTGTGTTTCAATATCCTTCTCAAAGTAGATACACATGACGTCATGAGTGGTTGCATAAGTAGATACACATGACGTCATGAGTAGTTGCATGAGTAGATACACATGACGTCATGAGTAGTTGCATGAGGATAGAATCACTAGAAAAGACTTTCCTCAGGCTAGAAAAAAACAAATTAAAAAAAACGGAACAGCTCCTAGGTACTAGTACGTGGGGACACCTGCCAATGGACAACTTGAACGGGAAGTTCATGCACATGGCGAAACATGGCATGGTATAGTTTGCCAATTGCATCACGACTCCTAAGCATACCTTTTGTACATCTTCCAAGATATCATCCACGCTGCGCCCATAGCCACGCGCCATTTCCTGGATGACAGTCGTGTCCACCTCCTCCTGTACACGCAGACATTGAACAGTGACGAGGAGAACAGGCAGACATTGAACAGGGATGAGGAGAACTCACTACACTACCTACAGGGACACTTCAGGAGGGTGTGCCGCCTCCGAGGACCGGCAATGAACAACAGTTACTGTGCCTTGTTGCCCAGGTACTCTACGCACAAGGCCACATGGCCAGGGCCACCGAAGAGTACCTGGTGCTGCCAGGGGAAAGACTAGATTATACCCAAGGTACCAAGATGATTGTAGCAAAGCCGTGTACTGCAACTGATACATACCATGTTCACCATCTTCAAGACTTAGTGTACACACCGGTACACGAGGCCTTGCACTGCTGTGCCGGCAAACTATTTAGTGTTCATTCTGGAGAGACCCTAAATGATAGACACTGAATCATCTTTTTTTCTTCATGAAGTGTGCGCTGGCATCAATCCTCAGGATATACTGCAGGTTTGTCTAGAATGCAACACGCCACTCCTTCTGCACACGGTTATAGCCAACACGCCAAACGGGAGCCATGCATCTAGAGGATACAGGGCTACATACCCCATAATGCGACGACCACTCGACCGGCTTCAATGTCCCGGTGTTCATCCACGTGTGCTGTATGAGTACGTCCACAGTCAGCCGCCGGGTCGGGTTGGTCTGTGAGTGTTAGCAGCACAACAAGTGGCAGTGGATCATACTTATACGTATATGGCATACACTGGTATGCACGGCGAGAGCATTTCGACACCCGGTGGCAGTCTTTCAGGTTATCCTAGTTCAAACGGCAGTCTTCTTACCATGCACTACTTGCACTACTTGCACTACTTGCACTACTTGCCGCATCATGTGGCTGCACAACCCACTCACACAATCATCCTTGTCCGGATAGACATTGGCATTTGCGACTATGGAGGAGGGGGGGGGGGGCTCCATGGGAGAATTTTAGGAAAATTGGGCCCAAATAGCCCATATTTCATTGCTTCAAAATCACAGGATAAAATTGTTGGTCCGGCTTGGCCGCACCGGTTCCAACCCCTGCATTACATCGGAGTACATTGTATCCAGAATTCAAGCATGTACAGAACTGGTAACTTTAATAGCATGTACAGGACTTGTAACTTAGCTGGCAAATACGGTGAAACGTCAGTACAAAGCACCCCGGTTATAACATACATTATCTCTTGGCATTATAATTTACTTCGAAGTATAAGTACGTTTTAGCATCCTACATATCCTTTTCTAGTCGTTTGACCTCGGATATGAGGTGAGTCAGTTTTTTTGCGTCGCGTGGAGATATTTCACTAAAGTATCATAGTACATGTACTAGAAACATGCGTGGACTTGTGCTCACGGGGAACTACCTGCATCTAGCAGGGCATTATGTACTACATGTAGTAAGGAAGATACATACTTATGATCATCATGACATCAGACTTACCACCAGGAGTTCACTGATTAGCTGAGTACTTGCTGTCGACAGCCACTTTGGCACTTCATACTTTCCAGCCTGTGGCACACAGGAATGTTGGAATGGATAGAAAGGCTTTAGCATGTTGATCACTACACCGCACTGGTGCGTGTGTTGATTAAGACCGGGCCATTCTCACTTACGAGGCAGGCCGATTGACTCATGCTTGTACGCGCATGCATGTGCACTCACATGTACACATGCACGCACACACACGCACAATGTAATTGTATACTAAAGTAGTAAACTGAGTTTTCCAGTCTACCCTGAGGCTCTTGTAGGCATTTCATCACCTCATGTTTGCGCCAATCCACACAACTTCAACACTACCATTTCCTCCAGAAACAAACACTTTTTCAATCAATCTGTCAGTTCTTGTGAATTGAGCTCTGAGGAATCGAGCAATGGTGACACCGGGTGAGACTCAAACGGCATCGATTTTTCTTCAGCACACCAGCTCCTTGGAATGTGAATAAAAAGTCATGATTTTTCCGGAGGAAGTAGGTAGGACTGCTACCTACATCATGTAGGGTGTACTAGTATAGTAGTACGAGTATAGACGGTATGTCTACTTCAGCACACACGGTGCCATGCTCACCTGTATTAATCGATAGAGATAGGCCGTGTTGTCATGGTCGAATGGCAGAAAGCCGCAGAGCAGGGCGTAGAGCAGCACACCCATGCTCCAGATATCCGCCTGCACACGACCAGAACGGGAGGAACAAGCAACCGATTGCACAGCGTGAGACAAAGAGCCTGAATACAGTATGCAGGCCAAAAAGTACTCCATCACCGGCATCCAGATGCACAAGTCGTACTCAGGGACGTAGCTCACACATCGGTGGTGTGGTGACCATGTAACACCGGCCACCCCGTTGTCGCCATTTTTACCTATTTTGCCTATGTAGTACCTGTGTCAGCCAGTGCTGGTGTGGTGACCGGACTATATGGGGCTATATACGAGCTACGCGCCTGGTACTGGACAGTCGACTGAGCACAGCCAAGCTTCCACAGCATGCACATGTACGATATAAGCCGGATTCCTGGCTAGGGCATCAAGTTCCGCTATACCATTGCTACTGCCAAACAAAGTGAGCATGATGATAATTATTATAATGGTGGTCTAAGAGAAGGAGAGTTGTGACAAGATATCACTGCAACACTTGCAAGAAGGCTGTAGAAAGTAGTGTTGAACAGAACTGCCCAAGCACCACAGCATTACCCGCATGAGATGTACATCTATAAGTGAATGGACGTACCTCTGTCCCTAGATAAGGTCTTCCCTTTATTAGCTCTGGTTGAGGAGAAAACACACGCACACACACACATACACAAACACACACACGCACACATACACATACACAAACACAAACACACACACACATACACGCACACACACACACACACACACACACACACACACACACACACGCACGCACACACACACACACACACACACACATACACACACACACACACACACACACACACACACACACATACACACACACACACACACACACACACATACACACACACACACACACACACACACACACACACACACACAATGGCCACATCAACAGTATTTCTCGATCCAAAACACAAGCTTGCAATCAAGTGTTGCAACTGGCTTTGGTAGACAGAAGATGTAAGTGCTAGATTGTATGGCCTGCAGCAACGATACACCACTTAGAAACTGCAAGCCCAGTGGGTACCGACTCTACACGTTGAGACATGATTGGAAGACCACAGGGACCAGTAGACAGGAAACACTATGACTGTATCACCCCAATATGATTGTATCACACTAATACGACTGTATCACCCTAATACGACTGTATCACACTGATATATCACCACGTAATAAAAAATCCCTGCACGCCATGTGATGGTCGCTAAAGGTAGATTTGACTCGACTCGTGAGTCTAGACCGGCGTGGTGTCCACATGCATGCACTACACATACCTGGAGCTGCATACGCCGGGGATCCACAGCAAGTTTGGAGCGGATCATCTAATGACTGTAGTGCGGCACAGGCATATAGCGTAGAACAAACGCAACTGAGCACTGGTATTAGGAAACTAGCTGCATGCCCAAACGTTGGACCCGTCTGGAAAAGGACTATGCCACGCTCATAAGCGTGCCTTCGTGAGGATAATGGAAAAACAGTGGTCATTGCCAGTTTGACCGGGAATCCGTTATGTTTGCACACCATAGAGACCCTCTGAGAGGAAGCCGCATTACATGGACAACTGGTTGTCCCTCGGATTGCAAGACCCTGTACACGCACATGTAGCCATGCATCGCAGCCAAGTCTGGACTGAATCCAGGAACTGACAGGCCGCAACCAGGCACTATGGCCCACAGCCGGGCAGGGAGTATGATGTACATGTACATGACCTCAAGAGACTGGATACTCACAGCTGTCAAGACTGCTACCTGACCTGTTATGCCGATACGTACTGTATTTTCCCGGTTATAAGCCGGCGACCCCGTTTATAAGTCGAAGCCCCATACTTGGGACCTCAATTTACCGGTTTGACGGCAGCGTTTTTAGGTCGTAAAAGGTCGACTTCTATTCGGCAGAATACGGTACGTACGCTACACAGCACTACACCGCACTGCCCGCTTACCGATGGATTGGCAACAAGGCCGAAGTCAATCAGCTTGATATTCTGCAGGCACACCAATACGATGGAAGAGATGAAGTAGTTAGAGCAACTTACTCGAGTAACCGGCTACTCGCACGTGCATCATGTATCATGTGCCAGATGTCCCTGCATGGGCACCAGTAAGTAAAGTCTGTTGTACATGTCCAAGAGTGCAGTACGCATACAGGCGGGTATTCTATGCAGCAGCTTTGAAAGCACTCACAGTGCATGTGTCATGCATACTACTCCTACGATGCAATCAGAATGGCTATCACGTGACATGACTTCATGGGTCGTCCCGTGACATGGCCTTTTATTTGAGAAAAACAGTGTGAGCATCCTGGATACAGAGTTTTCTACGAACCTGTTTGTCATCCAGTAGAAGGTTCTCCTACAAACACAATTGCACACATACACAAACACACGCAATTATCACTTGCTATCCTTAGCAGCATATTGCTTATAACAGCACACACAGGCACGCACACGCACACACACACACACATGCATACACACACATGCATACACACACACACACACACACACACACACACACACACACACACACGCACACGCACACACGCACTAACTAGCAATACTGGACCAGGCACCGTGATATTTGTAGCCTATGCCTATAGCAACACAAGTAATGTATGCCACCAAACGGTCATTCTTTGTCCATAGCACCACACATGGGTCCAACATCGGGCATAGCACCACATATGGGTCCAACATCCGGCATCACCATAAGGCTCAACGCACAGTTACCGGTTAACACTTCTTCTCATCCCACTTACCGGCTTCAGATCGCGATGAGCAAATCCTTTTGAGTGAACATAGGCCACAGCGGAACATATCTGCCGAAAGAACTTTCTAGCTTCAGGCTCCTGGAAAGAAATTGTAAAACAAAAGGAACGAAAACGTTCAGCTCATTTACTATTGGTGCATTCTCCTAGACTGGTTTGGATAGCTTCGGGCCATGCAATTCATGTTACAGGGGCGTAGCAGCCACTTTTTTTTAGTAACACAATGAATGCCAAAAGTGCCCAGAATGCAGGATTTTGCACCCTAATTTGAAGTAATTTCCAATTTTCCCAGGGGAGACCCCCTCCCCCCCCCCCCCCCCCCGGCCGGACCACCTCCAACGGCGGTGCTACACGCCTGTGTTTACTTGGATACGGGTATATTTCTTCTTTGTTCTAAAACAAGAGTTTTTGACCTTTAAAACAAGAAAGTAATGCATCGGGCTTCTATCATGCGTACATGTGGTTCAGGTGGCAGCTACAAGGGTAGTACCCTGTGTGACACGTGTCCAGTACGTCAACATACCTTGAGCCGATCCTTTGCCACAATGTAATCAAAAAGTTCGCCACCAGGAGCATACTGTAGACAAATACACAGACCGTGCACACCGATGACAACAAGTATTAGCATTAACACGTCGGCAGCTAATAGTCTCTGTGCACGTCAAGGCAGCAGCAAGGAAGAGGAGATGAGTACAGCTACAGCTATGTTGAGCTCAATGAAACAAGAGGTTTCTGCAACAACTAAAAGCTCCTGCTACTACAGCTACAAATCTATTGCTGGCTAAAGGCATATCAGACGCGTACAACAAGAGCACTACACCACGTGATGTGAATTTTTATCTGCTAGTGGACCCACAGCATAGACAGGCGGTGTTGCACACTATTGGAAGATAACAGTTACAGTTGCTTACCTCCATAACCACGTAAAGCTTGTCAGGTGTCTCCACTACCTCGTAAAGTTGACAGATATGCTGGTGACGCAGCAACTTCAGTGTCTCTATCTCCCGAAATGCCCTCGGTAAGTCCTCCTGCAAGAGAGCAAGGCAACACAACAGTTGACCAGTTGATACTGTAGTACATTCCAACACTGGGACAACCCCACCAGACCAATACTTGACACCAACGCAAGAAATCAAAGAGAACATGCAGCTCGTCCTTTTCCAAATCCAAATCTGCCGCTTCCGTCAATCATAATGCTTGCAGACTACAGCTGGTTATCAATTGTTCTCTCCTGTTTCTACAAACTTTGACCACCTTGTTCTAGAGAACTGAGCCTTGTGGTGGAAGATTGTGCAAGGGCATGTACATCCTGTTACTGTGTAAACTGTCAAACCTGTTAAATTAATAATATTTGGTTGTTGACAAGCGGAACATGAAGGGAAAAGGCACAGACTGGAGAGCATGATAAAATCCTTACGCCTAGTCCGGCCTTGTCCATGATCTTGATAGCAACCTGACAGGTGGATGTCCCAGGTACACATACACATACACATGGACACACAAATACATAAACATACATGAGCAAACAAGTACATGTAGTTGGAATATCGATTGACAGACAGCATTTCTCCGGGCGGCCCTAAGAATTCTTCAGACCTCAACCTGTCCATTGTGTACTATCCAATATGATGAAAGAGTACATAATTCCCAGGGGTTATGCACTCTTGATATTATGTACCCCCTAGCCCCAGATAAATGGGCATATATTTGCACTACCTCACTGGTATATTATTTTAAATAGTTGGCTCGTGAAAGGCTTGAAATGAGAATATACATACAGAGGCGCATTATAGTTACACATACCAGCATTCCTGTTAGCTTGTGCTTTCCAGCCTTGACTTTTGCAAAGCCTCCTGCAATAGAGAAGAAAAAGATTGTGACAAAAAATGCAGTGGTGATTGGCGGGTAAAGTCTCTTAGAATGATCTTCTAATGCAGACCCACGGGGTCTACTCCAGCATGGATGTAAGCAAGACAAGACTGGGGGGGGGGGGGGGGGGCTCACCAGTAGCAACGGCAGGCAACTTGATATCAGCAGCAGTTTTAGACAAGATGTATGTCAGTAATATAATTCATTTTTTGTTTTCGCCTGTGACCTGTGACCATTGTAAAAAAAACTAAAAAAAACTCTGGCTCCTGTAACATAAGTTTTAAGCGTATGTTACAAGTACATGATTGTATGATGCCTGTATGATGCACATGTAATGCAACCATGTAGTTATGTGCACCGTACAGGCATCATACACTCATGTACTTTGAAGTACATCATCTGACTTGCATCTATGCAGTTCCTTACAATGACTGCAATCGGCAACTATGGCTAGCGCTGAAGAATTACTAGATAACAAAGACTAGTGCTGTTTGCAATCACGTGACTGAACTGTACAACTGTCAAGAGATTCACGAATATAAAGAGCAGTAGGTGGCGGGGCATATCCATATCAACAATTTCACTGCGCTAACACCACATGTGTAAGTATTAAAGTAAAGTAAATTATCGTATCCATTCCCCCCCCCCCCCCCCCCCCCCCCCCCCCAGGGAACTCCCCCTCAATCAATACCAATGGGGATTAACCAGGTACTAGGTGTGGAACTATCAAGTGACAATTAATTCTCCCCTCCAGATCAAATAATTGATCAAGGGGACAACACTCCAATACAGGTAGTGAAAGAGCACACTGGGTGACTACTACTGGTAGTGATCTAGGGAAGTAACTAGAGTCAACACCAATGTAAGTAACAGTTACTAGTCTTATGAGTCTACTGTGTACTGTGAGGACAGCCTTCAGCAGATGCTGCATGAATGTTTGTGGCAGTACATGTGTGCAGCACAAGTATAGCACAACTGCTATTTCTTGTGCGTGCATGTGTGTGTGTGTGTGTGTGTGTGTGTGTGTGTGTGTGTGTGTGTGTGTGTGTGTCCCATATGGTGCAGTGGTATGTGCAGCGATTTCCAATCGATAGGTTGCGGGTTCGATTCCCGACGATTATGGTCACACACGTCTTTCTTCTCTTTCTCAGACTCCTCCTGACTTTTCTTTCATTCTCCTGGGTGGTTACCAACAGCCAGTGCATGCTGGAGTATGTGGTGTGATGTGTGTGTGAAAAAAATGAAAAAGACCAAAAAGTAGGGATTCACTGGCCAGAAAAAGCCACTTCATAGCTGTGTGGTGTAGACCAGGCTGAATAGTGGCGGTCAATTCTTCAGCCTTGCAAGCTGTTGAATGGTGCAATCCCAGCACAAGCTGCTATGGCTTCTGCTGTAGCATCGCCATCATCGCCTCCGGCGATGGGCGTCCAATGGTCCAATGGTGTGTGTGTGTGTATGTGTGTGTGTGTGTGTGTGTGTGTGTGTGTGTGTGTGTGTGTGTGTGTGTGTGTGTGTGTGTGTGTGTGTGACATGTGGTGACTTCGAACCATTGCATAATACAATGTAACGGTTGCCCACAATCCGACTTTGTTTTTCAGACTCCAGCTGTAATTGTATATGGGTCATTCTCCCAGCCTCCAACTAAAGTCATTCTAGGGTCTGGAGTGTTTAAGAAAGTACTCAGAGACACGGTTGTGGAATGCCACACTGAATCTGCAGCTAGGCCATGGTTCCGCTGTTCTTGAGCCTGCAGTGAACTGCTATGTACAATCATTGTACATGCCATGACGGCAATTCACACAGTCACATATTCACAAAGTCCATCCGCATGGTTGTACATGAGTCATGACTGCTGTTCAAGTAGATTGAGCCAAGTATTACTGGTTTGTTGAGGTAACTCACTGACTCAGTTAGGAACGGAGTCAGCGAGTGGTTCAACTTTGCCTTCAGCCATCCGTCTGCCTGTCTCTCCATGACATGAGCCAGGTACATGTACACCCAAATCAAAGGCTTCACACAGTAGACCATGGTAGACTGTTGGCTGCTGTGGCAAAATTATGTGAGGCCAGTCTTATTTTTACGTTCTTCTGAGTTCTGTGTCTTTTGACCACCGGTACAGCAACGAACAAGGAGGACATACGTAGCACTACAAGCAAGCAACTACTAGTACTTCAAAATCAAAGAACATTACTCCAGATTTACTCTATTTGCCCTGCCCAGCCAAAAGCCATGCAGCGTGACCCACACAAAATTACCGTAGCACAATCGCGTTTGATAGTGCTCACACAGTAAAGTGTACAGTTGGCTGTACATGTAGTCACAATGAAAACGCCTTCTCACCTGCACCAATGGTTTCCTTGACCTCATACCGTTGGCTTATCGCCGCGTGCGCAGAGCTGGACTGGGCGGCAGGCATGATGATGCCGGCTGTCTTCCTCCCACTGGCACTACTACTGCTATGCTAGCTAGCGATGCTGTGTGAAGCGACTCTTGACGAGTGCGTCTGCGTCCGGATTTCCGTCGTCCACCAGGCTCGTTTGCTCACGACAGACCGGCCGGGTGTCGCTGCTGCGGGCAGCGTTGTACCACAGATAACCTCTACGCTAGATTCTGATCTTGTCACTGTAAAGCTCGAAGGAAGCAGCTCTCTGGAAGAGCCTGCGGAACAGACGGAACACGAACTCTCCGCCGGTGCTGTGTACTCCCAGTCTTCCCATGCACAGTGATTTTACACAGACTCCAAGCTGCATAAATCATTTGAGGCTGAAAGACTCAGTCTCAGCTCCGTGGAGTCCATGAGAAGTTTGTCAGGTCCAAATACGTGATGGTGTCCAGCCTATTGCTGCGGGCACGCTGACATGCCAAAACACCTAACAGTTGCCACCAGTACGAACTC